AGTTTCGGAGGTGTTTACTGCTTCCATCATCAGGGCGATGAGTAAGCTGCGCGTGAAAAATTTAATAGAGATTGGACAAGTTAGAACCTGAGCCGTCGCAAGGGGTTTGGGAGGGGGGAGGAAGGGAGGAAGGAAGGAAGGAAGGAAGGAAGGAAGGAAGGAAGGAAGGAAGGAAGGAAGGAAGGAAGGAAGGAAGGAAGGAAGGAAGGAAGGAAGGAAGGAAGGAAGGAAGGAAGGAAGGAAGGAAGGAAGGAAACAGGGCGGAATAAAGACTGGAAATCGAGGGGAGGGTGAGACAGAGCCATGGAAGGGACCGTGGAAGTCCTACCCTCGTCACACTCATCATATAATTCTCCCTTTCATCTCTCCCCCCCTCTTGGACAGGCTGTAGTCCGCTCTTTCTTCTCAATTGCTCACTCGCCGTCTTCACCCAGTCCTCGCTCACTCCCCCTGACACCCTGATGAAGCCAAGATTGTACCTCGACTGTCCGGTTCTCAAATCTCTAGCCAAAATATCACGCGCATTTTTCCCTAATCGCCTTGATTACAGGGGCAGAGTCCATCTCTGAAACGTCGATCTGCTTCTGCGAGACTAGACAGCGCAGTGTCCCAGAAGGGTGTCTTGTACCCTGTTTCTTCCGGGAACTCGTGACGTTCAACAGAAGAACCCACGGCAAGTCCTGATGAGCACAGCGATGCTTTATGATCTCCTGATTCTGAAGGATTTTGAGGACCGCAGCGCCAGCTGAGGAAGAAGACGGTCTGAAGTGCTTCCAGCTTTTAAACAACCACAGACCGTTGGATATGCTGATTCTGGTGCAGTTTAACGCTTGTGCTGAACATCAGTCTGTCTTCCAGACGTAGTCGGTTACCCCCAGTCTCGTCGCAACGCTTGTCCTGGTATTCCTCCGTCATTGACTGCCCTGATGTCTCAGAGTTACGGTAGTCAGACGTCCCACATGCTTGTCCTATCTCCTCAGGAGCAGCGACATATTATATAAAACAACCCTGTAACAACTGTCGCTTCTATGTGAAAGTGATTTACTTGCATTCCTCAAGCGTGTCTTCTGCTGAGATACACGTAAAGTTTTTTAAATTTTCAGACACCTTTCCTTTGCAGAGGGCTGAGGGTATATCTGAGTCATTAGTCAACTCCTCTGTTAGATCTGGGTTTCGCCTTTTCAAACAATCTTCTACCAACTGTCCTTTCTTCTTGAAGGTGAATTGATATGGATCCTCCGTGTCTTTTGCTAAGATAGACATAAATTTTTTTAAATTTTCGGCCACCTTTCCTTTGCAGAGGGCTGAGGGTAAATCTGCGTCATCAGTCTTAACACGCTCCTCTGGTAGATCTGCATCTTGGCCTTTGAAAGTCTCGTGTGTCAACTGTCTTTTGTGTTTAAAAGTGAGTTGATGTGGATCCTCATACGTTTCTTCTGCTGAGGTAGACACAAAGTCTTTTAAATTTTCAGACACCTTTCCTTTGCAGAGGACTGAGGGTAGATCTGAGTCCTCAGTCTTAACAGGCCTCTCTGGTAGATCTGCATCTTGCTCTTTGAAAAACTCGTCTGTAAACTGTCTTTTCGGTTTGAACATGGGTTCACATGGATCCTCAAACGTAACTTTTGCTGAGTTAGTCACAGAATGTTTTGAATTTTCAGAGGCCTCTGTTTTGGAAGTGACTATTTGGTTGTTGGTTGTAATTAAACCGTCAACATGTGCTGTAAACTTCTCCTCTTGTTCCTTTGGGAGCCTCTGGAAAACAGAAGATATGAATGAATTAGGCGGTGAAGGGAGATACAATTAAGTTGGTGTAACCGTATTTTTTTTGTCAGATTGAATTAGAAAACTCTCATTTTTGATATTGCGGGTTCATGAATTATCTTTTAACACCAGGATAGTAATAACAGTCGTTCTCAATAAATTATTTACTTAATAAATTATCAGAGAATAGCAAACAAAGATTAGAACACTTTGTCACACACATCTGTTCCAAGTCAGAATATGAAACCCGAAAGCCAAATTGGAACGATTGAAGATTTACACAGAACTTTCTTCTGTGGCCCCCACAATAGAAAATACGTCAAACGTCCACCGTCAGATGCCCATTAATAGACTCCATGGAGCGTCGCCTTCCTTGTTAAGCTGATAGTCGCTCATTTGGGCAACGCATTCTCAGACTTTTATCCTGACTGAGGTAATTCGTGTTGTTCTCTATTTCCACCAGGAAAATGCAAGCAAAACCTCAGACCAAGACCGCTCCCTTCCAGATTCATTATTCACTGTCATCCTCTCATCAGAGCCAATTAAAAGGCGTCGTTAAATGGACTACAGTGGCTAGTGGCCTCCGTCCTCAGCAAATAAAAACAAGATCCGTTTTAATATTATTCTCCCATCAACGCTTGTCTCCCGAGTGGCCTCTTTCCTGCAGGTATTCGAATTGAATGTCTGCACGCATTTCTTATGTTTGTCATTCGTTCTGAATGCCCTCCCCCAACTCATCCTTGTTTTGGTTTGATCACCTTAATTCTGTTTTGTGAAACACACGAATGCCTAGCCCTCCCTGTTGTTATGGAAACTGAATAATGATTACGAAGGGATAATAAGCCAAGAGCTCTTAACAGAGGGTACACGTGTCGCTGTAAGCACGGATGAACTTGTTGAAGAAGCTTCTGAGGCATGAAACTGGAGGGCGGTGCCATTAACTTGGTAGCTAAGAAACGCTTGTCTCTGACAATCTTCCGGCATTCGAGAGAAAACTTTAAGTCTTAAAGGTCATGACAACATTTTTCATTGATTTAAAACAAATAACTTTTGTCCCTGAAAAGCTTAATGTAAGATTTTGTTGAAGACTTTCAGTCATAACATTTGGCTTGCGGTCCACATTGGTCGGTCCTGGCACTTAAAATTGGCCTTAATAAAATAAAAGTTTGCTCATCACATGCACTGGGCTAGATTATATTTTATTTTAATATTTGTTGGTTACTGAAGGCTGTTTCGGAACTAGGTTTCATTGTAAGTAATTTTAATCAGCATACACTAGATTCTGCATTAACGGTGTTCTATCTGGATTAAATTAAAATTAAAAATTAATATAAAATCTACTGCAAAATTTAAAAGGTTTAAAAACATATTAAGAAATGCAACAATTACATGTTACGTAACGTATTAATATAAATCAGAAACCTGAAGTGTACAACAGAACGTTATTACCATTCATTTAAGTTTTTATTCACAAACGTCTGCGATGTATTGTATTAAATTTTACATAAAATCCTTTCTTTTTTAGTCAGTATGAAAAAGCTGTCCAGCGAGACGACAGGTAGGCGCTTGTGTGGAGAAACAGTATAGCCACTGCTCATTATTAACCTGATTAGTAAATCTGTAAAACCTAAGTTGTGTATTTCTGTAAATAAATTTAAGTGTTTGTTGCATTTGCATGGTTTTAATTCATTTCCGGGGATTACTCGGGGTGTCCGATTATAGGAGGAAATATATTTTCCAACAAATTCGGATAATCTGGATTCTACCGTATTAAAAAAATAGTATTTGGATTCCACGAATGGTTTAAATTCATTACGCTTTGTCTTCTACGTGTCTTAGCTCACTAATACCGAAGATTTAAGTTAAACAAATTAGAAAAATGTCGCTTCAGTATGAAAGTAAAAATGCGCTGGTAATTTATAAGATAATGTAGAACTATAACACACCAGCGAGAAACTCCACGAGAAAACGTTGCTCACGAAGTTAATTGGCTCCACGTTTTTACTTACCTTATGTCTCCAGAACAATTTTCTCCACCATTTGCCTATTTTCGATTTCTTCTCAATTTTGAGGTCCAGGGACTTGGGTGCCATAATGAAATGCAAAATCAGAACAGAGCTCTCTACAGACACGTTCGTCTGCCAAGTCTCCTGAAAGTACCTCGTTTATTATAACCGTGGAAACGTCGGAACAATGTTAACAAACATTGCATTGTTTTTTCGTCTCTACGTATATAAACATATCCTTCTGTCGTTAACATTGTTGTCGTATAGAGAACAGAATGACGTCACACGATTCATTATGATTTCCTGGCAATAATAATATTTCAGAGCGACGTGGGGTCCCATGTGGGGATTTTATGTGAAGTAGAAATGCCTGAGTTGGTTAGAATATTGTGACGAACTGAACCCCTTTCCAGCCCACCAAAGAAAACAAACGAGTACAATGTGACGTACTCAACGCTGATCCATCTAAACGGCACTAGTTTGTATATGTACCACTCGGCAACTACATTTTGCCCACAGCATTTGTATATGGGCGTGGCGTGATCCCCAGACAGTTCAACGTCCCTCTGCCTTCTTAACTTCCAAACGCCGAACATTCCTGTTAATCTGCCTTTACCAGAAGGACGAGCGGGCACTGCCTGGGAACATTCACAACTGGAAACCTGTCTTTCCTTTTTCCACCCTTAAATGCAGTGTTTTTTTACAAAAGAATAAAGGTGAATCTGCCCGATGAGAACATATATATGCACCGCCCGCTTTCGACTTCGCATACTGTTTCCATCTTCAGGGCTGAAACTTTATTGCCGGATAGACCATGGTTTATATAAGGTAGAGGAAGGGCAACAGTTCATTTTCCAGCCGCCATTATTAAGTTTTCTTTTCACGAAGTGCATAGCGAGAACGCGTTATGGGCTTGTCGTGTCTGTCTGTCCATCCATTCGATTCAACTCGAGAACCACTCGATGGAATTTGATGAAATTTGATATGGTTTTTGCCACTCTGTAAGACCTCAAAATCGTACTTCTGAATAAGGTAAGAGGCTCTTCCAAGTGCAATAATGCTTCTGTTAGATTCCCCATGTCTGTCTGTCTGTCCATCCATTCGATTCAACTCGAGAACCACTCGATGGAATTTGATGAAATTTGATATGGTTTTTGCCACTCTGTAAGACCTCAAAATCGTACTTCTGAATAAGGTAAGAGACTCTTCCAAGTGCAATAATGCTTCTGTTAGATTCCCCATGTCTGTCTGTCTGTCTGTCCATCTGCCCGCGTGTAACAACCAAAGAAAGCAACGACAAGCCTGGGAAATGCAGTCCCGGAACACACAGTTGTATCGTGCGCTCTCTGCAATGCGCATCTTAAAGTATTTATTACGCTGTGCCTTCTTCTTTCATTCTGGTCTTATCTGGTTTCCGGAGGACTAGTATTTCTTCCTATTTTCTTATAATTCGAAAAAGAAGTGACTCTTAATTGTTGATTAGATTCTAGGGGCGATAAGAAAGTGGGTGTGTTATAATTGTTAAGTTAAGCGTACATTTCATAACTCATTTACTTCCAAACACTTCCTTCATTATCAGCGAAAATATTCCTCCACGAAGTGAGTATGCAGGACCATACATAAAAATGGAGATCTAAATTATTGTGTCGGTACTCGATATTTATTGAAATAAACCAAAAAAATTATCAAACTAGAAAGGTCAGATTCAAAGATTTACAAGAGGTGGGTAAATTAGTAACATTGATATTTGTTAAAAGGAAACAAACCAGACTCAAGTGAGATGAGTGTCGTGGAACTTCGAAGAGATAGGCCAACATAGCCCAAATGCCTTCGATGTTTGTTTCTTATTATTTTTTATTATTTATTTAGTGTTCTGTCTGACGACAGGTCCATATGAACAGGATCCTTCCATCCTTTTCTCGGACTGGGACCTGTTCATATACGTTCTTGGCAGATGATCCAGAAGTGGTTTGCCATTGCCTTCTTCTGTGTGTGAATGGAGTAATTGTTGGGATGCCACGGAGAAACCGGGGAAGCCCCCGGAGGAAAACTCCGTGTTGCCTAGACCACGGCCTTGCCGAACACAAGTTATAAATTCGGGCACCGCCGGGAATCGAACCCGAGACCCCAGGATTACAAGACCAGCGTTCTAACCGGTAGACCACCGTGGCGGCTTGTTTCTTACCGTCGATCTACTCGTTTGGGCCCATGAGGGTTCCCATCGGACGACCCCGACGCCAGCATCAGTAAGCTATTACCCTCATTGATCCCTTAATGAACACCAGGAGGCGGTGTCTGCTGTAACAGATGCAACAAGTCACGTGCGTTACTCCCTGGTACCTGAAACGTATGTAGTGCTCTTGAGAAATTTATAACAATTGAGCGTATTACGGAGCCTCACGATCTGTCACCATGTTCACCACGAAAGTCCACCATTAGATCCTAAATTAATCTAACTCAGATCTTCACACCCTGAGCTCTAAGTTATGTTTTAATATTAGTGTTACGTATACGTCTATATCGCTAGAATATGCCATCAGGAAAGTCCAAGATATGCAGGAGGGTTTGCAATTGAATGGGGCACATCAGCTATTGGCATATGCTGATGATGTTAATTTATTGGGGGACGATATGAATACAATAAAGAGGAACGCAGAAGTTTTACTAGAGGCTGGTAGACAAGTGGGGCTGGAAGTAAATTCAGAAAAAACTAAGTACATGTTAGTATCTCGTCGTCAGCAGACAAGCATGCAGAATCATATTAGGGTGGCTAATAAGTCCTTTGAAAGTGTTACAAAGTTCAAATATCTGGGAACAACAATAAAAAATCAAAATGACACTCATGAGGAAGTTAGGAGGAGATTAAATTCTGGAAATGCTTGCAACTTCTCAGTTCAAAATATTTTGTCTTCCCGTCTGATTTCTAAGAACCTGAAAATTAAAATATACGAAACAATAATCTTGCCTGTTGTTTTGTATGGGTGCGAAACATGGTCTCACACTCTGAGGGAGGAACACAGATTGCAGGTGTTTAGTAGAGAAGACGATGGGGCATGTGAGAACTGCATAATGATGAGTTTAAAAATCTGTACTCCTCCCCCAGTATTGTCAGGGTGATTAAGTCGAGAAGAATGAGATGGGCAGGACATGTAGCGCACATGGATGGGACAAGAGGTTTGCTCCGGCTATTCGTCGGGAAGCCTGAGGGGAAGAGACCGCTGGGGAGACCTAGACGTAGATGGGAAGATATGTCAGGAGGGATCTACGGGAGATAGGCGTTGAAGGAGACTGGATTCTGTTGGCCCAGGACAGGGTCCGGTGGAGGGCTTTGGTTAATTCGGTGATGAACCTTCGGGTTCCGTAAGCCATCTGGTTGGTTGGGTCCACTATTTGGGAAGCCTGAGGGGAAGAGACCGCTGGGGAGACCTAGACGTAGATGGGAGGATCTGTCAGGAGGGATCTGTGGGAGACAGGAGTTGAAGGAGACTGGATTTTGTTGGCCCAGGACAGGGTCCGGTGGAGGGCTTTGGTTAGTTCGGTGATGATTGCCAAACTTTTTTGGGCTAGAGAAAGTAGGAGGATGTTTCAATTCAAAATGGACACCACACAAATGTAAAATAACTACACGCGTTTAAAAGCACTCCTCTTCACGATTAAAAAGTCATTACTATGTTACGTAAATATGTCTCGTTGTTCTTTAACGCTGTTCCGAATATAATAAACCGTAAGACTCGAATATTGACCCAACTGACTCTCTGAGCAGGTTACGTGTAAATTTTTCGCGGATACTTGAAAACACTTGCGCTGGTAATACGTTGGCGCCCGCGGGTGTGGGAATGGCGAATCCCCGGTCTAGGTCTTCTGTTTCATTATTCGACTGGGGTGCTCCAACCAATATTTTATGTGCTGGAATTCCTAAGTCCGCTGATGAAAACCATCGTGCGTAGAATGCGCTAATCAAGCGTCCGGTTGAAACCGGGTATGAATTCCGACTTCAGAGGCCCGAGGGTAAAAAATATTCCTTAAACAGAGGCCACTAGCGACCGTAGAAAATTTTAAATATTACGTAACAGAACTTTGATATTTTTCTTCATGTGAGGTGTTGAGGATGACGGTGTTTCCGGTCCATGACGCTGATGGCAAATATCGCCACCATCTTCCTCAAAGTGGTTAATGAGCCTTATTTTTCTATGTATTTCGTGCCGAAATCTATCAATATTACTGTGAGATTCTTCGAGTTTGGTTTGTAATACATATAAAAATTCTCGAAGGTTTGTAAACAAATTTCCATATATTCTTAGACTCTGAACGAGTACCCTGGAGGAAGAACACAGGAGACGCAGAAACCATTGCGGACATAATGAGAAAATAAAATATCCAAGCAGTGTCTATCTCTCTTCACCTTTATCTCATCTTTTCATATCCATGACAATGTAATTTGTAATGATGTAATCACATAAGATCAATGTCCCACCTCGCGAGTCTGAGTGCCCGTCACTTTAGTGTTACGGATTATAAAAAAATAAAAATTTTGAGCTCCAAGTAATGTCACAACGTGCAAATATGTTCACACCTCCTCGAGTTATTACACTGTGGAAAGACTAGTTTGTAAGGCCACTAGTAGATGTCAGCACGAACTCTTCTGCTAAAAGATACGATAGGTGGGCGGATAAAATTTACCCCAATGTGCTCAAGTTTCAAGAAACGGGGTTCTGCTGTGTCGACTGGATTCTTGCTTCTCAGGATGTGGTTTAGTTTGCGACTGTTTTAAAGACGATGATGGAATATTTGTTTTTATAAACCGTGGGAAGTTTCATGAATAGCTGAGTGACTATTACCTTCTGAAAAAGGACTCTGCGACTTGGAGTTTTTAAGAGTTTGTTGCGTTTAAGTGAAGGTAGCTGCCACTAATTATTAATAGTCAGAACTTGATTATTATGTCTCCTTCCTCCTTCCCTTCCTTATCTTCCTGTTCCACATTTTGTAGGGTCTAGTATAACCTATTATGACAAGTGTGGAGGAAATGCTAACACAGAAAATTATAATTGTTTAATTTGAACCGTCTAATCACAATAAAATATTTTATTAAATATTAAAATATTATTATACATTATAAGGGCGACGATTATTTATCGAAACGCATCACATCTGCTTCCTATTCGAAAGTTCCCGGGAACGAATCTCTGCCTGCAATCTGGCTATCCTGACAGTTTTATTCAGTCCCTCCTAACAAATTAAATGACAGTACCTTAAATTAAGTCATTAACGCTTCCTTCCGCACCCCTTCCAATTCACAATCCACTAATAATCGTAACATTCGACGCTATACAATCTGAAATATTGACAGTGTCAATGAATTGACCAGAGACGTCGTCATTTCGATCATACTGCCAGTCTGCTTTGTAGGCATTCCTCTGAAATTTCCATAGGGTAGAAATTTGTCGCCAGAGAAAATACATTCAATTTTACACATAATTTCAACCTTTAACACAATTAGATTTGTTCATAACATCCCATTTGAATTAAAACTTGATACACAAGACGTAGGCCTGTGTGTGTTATGTGCAGTGTTCCACTTTCAGAACGTGTGTGAACTGCAGCTTTAAGCTTTAGGTTATTCTTGTTTCTCTCGCTTTTGTTCTAAAGCTCCCCATTGACATAGGAGCATCCATTACTTCCTGACTTCACAGTAAATCTCGACTGGTAAATTCCAGGCTCCTTCAGCTGTACTTATTTTGGAACACTGTCTCCTTCTCATTTGTATGATTACTACGAAATAAAATTCCAGGAATTTCTGAAGCAAAACCATTTTATTACTTTATTTTCTAAAGTTATATAATTTTATGTTAAAACCTAACCTACAATATTCGAAACTCTTTTTCTGCCATATCCTTATTTTCTTCTAATTGGTTCTTGCATTTTTGCATTTCCAGGTCTAAAATTATCATCAACGCAAATCAGACTTTCCAATGAACTTCTATTATTGTGCGTGTTTATTGAAATTGTAGGCTTGCGACAGGGGCATCTAATTTCACTATGGTCCATTCATTTACCGTTTCAGTTTCACACCCAAATTCAAGTGTTTCGCATTTAACCAAATTCTGTAACTTGTTTATGCTTTGAAAATATTTATTAGTTTAACCACAATCTTAATTTCATTCAAATTTCCTTCTTCTCGTGTAATTACAACATTGTGGTTAGTGGATCCAAATAGTTCAGCCTCAAAACTGATCAAAAACAACATCTTCCGTAAACACTCTCAGCGATGTAACCAAATCCACAGCATTCCAAATTTTCGCCCGTGTTATGTTACCAGGGAGTTAGTTTTGATTAGTTCTGAAGTTGTTGACAGCCACACAAGATATCTCGAGAACCAGTTCCCATCAAATAAATTACGAGGATATCCAAAGCAATTAAGTAAAAAGTTCCTTGCAACACCATTTCCCTTATTTCAGAGCTCAGATTTTCCTTAAAATGCATTTGCCTCTAGGCTCAATAAAGTCCCATCAGCTGTTTTTTTTACAGGCATCTCTTTTTACACCTACTAGCTATTCATCCCTCAGATACACCACCGTCAAACCACTCAGGTTCAGGCGAATTTCGATTATTCATTCCAAAGACCGCTGCTGCTTGTTGCGGTGATATCCGAACGATGGATGAGGAAATCGTAAGGTAGATGTTGACGTGCTACGACCTGGTGGTTAAAGTAGGAACTACCGAACAAGACGAATGTAATGCCCCTAAATGTACGTCGAAGATAATGCATGAGGATCATAATCTTACTTTCATAGATTAGACGAATCGCCTGTTCCATATTCTACTTTGTTATGTCTCCTTCCATCTTGTTCTTGGTCTTAATAAGTCTCGTCTGCCAGACGGATGATGTTATTGGACTTGTAATGGAGTGTGAATTTGTTCCAACCTTTTAAGACAGTTGCATTCGTGCGACATCTGTACGGGATACATGCTACCTCACTATATCGATTATCGATTTCTACCAACATTACTAATCGACAGTTTAAATCGATATGTGAATGTAATTGATCATATGATTCTATTAGGATAAGGGAGTAGTGGAAGGTGTATAGTATTGGTACAAAAATGTTGAAAATATTTTTGTGTGTTGCAGCTGTAGTTGTGGCAGGTAAGTGGGCTGCTATTGTATGGATTTTTTTTGTTTATGCAATATGTTATATATTTCTGCATATTTAAATAACGACAAAATTACTCAAAGACTTACTCACACCATGTTAGTTATATCTGTAACAGTCACTCGCCGAAGGAACTATCTCAGAACGATATACATATTCTGTATAGTAAAGGTGAAAAATCTTGCCGCTCCGGTTACAGGCCAGTTTCATCTCTGACATCATTTTCCAAAATTGTGCACATATTTTTCTTTGATTACTTTTTAACTATAAGAATATCCTCACAGAGGAATAATTTGGATTTAGGAAGGTCTCAGCCTATAAAGCCTTGTACGAATTAACAGATGAAGTCTTATGTGCCCTCATCATAAAATGCTCATTGGTAGAATATTTTTGATAGTGCTGAAGATTCTGAAAATGTTGCCTTCTGACAAGATGTACTCAGTGTTAATGTTAATTGTCTCAAGTTCTTCCCCAGAAATTGTTGAAATCTCATAGCAGATTTTGTTTCTTAGTTCTTCCAGAGAGTGGGGATGTGTCTTATACAATTTATCTTTTAAACTTCTCCAGAAATATATGGAAGGAAATCAAGGGAATGTGGGGCCACAGACCATGTACAATTATGTGGTTGCTAAACCCCTTCACATTGCTTCTGAATTGAATATGTTGTATGAGCTGTTGCTGAAACCTCTGTGTAGCCTTTCTACTTCTGTTAGCTGGGTAAAAAATTGTCTTAGGATGTTGTTCACATACCTGGCAGCATTAACTGGATTGGCATAAAAGATATGTCCAGTTACCTTGTATGCACTTACACAATTTTTTTTTGTTACAAAGAGGAAGTTTATTAATAAATCTTGAATTTTTTGCACTCCGGTATTGATTGTTCCAAGAATGTACCTTTCATTGTAATTAAAACCAGGCTTCATTTGGAAAAACACTAATTTTCGATCAAGTTCTCCATCAGGTACAGGTAAAAGAAACCAATTACAAAAATTTATTGACATAGCCAGAACATGTTCTTTCAAAGCACTGAACTACCATTCATTGTCTTGTACAGTTGCAGTTTATACAGTTTTGTGGCTTTTCATGCAGTTGTTCTTGAGACACCTCTCTCTTGTACTAGTTTAACTTTCTTAGTAATGTTTCAAGCCTAGAACAAGTGCTATCCAATGTGTTTTCTGCCAGCACAGTTACTTCTATATCTGGATTTTCGTCCATTAATGATCCCATAGTTTTTGGACTATTGACCAGGTAATACTTAGGCTTAGTACGTGAAAGGAGCAGGACCTAATGCTATAAAGAAAGGTAAAGCCATCCCATTAAGCACCATGTGAGTTCACAGGGGAGAGGAGGTATAGCTCCTACTTATTCTATTGGCACTAGATTGGGGGTAAGTGGTCACGTTTTACCCCCGTGGAAGGGAACCCTGGTACCCATTGGACAGGAGGCTGGGTAGGCCCCAGAGCTGGTTTTGATGCAGATGCTAAACAAAAATCCTCTGCTCCTGTTGAGGATCAAACCCTGATCGTCCAGCCCGTATTCAGCTACTATACTGTCTAAGCTAAGGACCTAATGTAGATGTCAGAAATATTTATAATCAAAACTTTTCCTCTCATGCAAGGAAAAGCGTGACAGTTAGAGGTACCAGGAGGGATCTTTATTATGACTTTAAGGTTTTAAAACACTTCTATTTTATTGAGAGTAAATTAGTATATGGGAGACATTGTGTGATGTAGCATTTCAGAGTCAGCTAATGCCTTGTATTGTGATCCTTTCATCCTTCTCTTCCATGTTACAGCGTATGGAGCTGGTGAACTCGTTATCCTTGATTCGCCAGACTCAACAAAGTTTAGTGGCCATGAACAGATAGATGAAAGCATGTTGAAGGAGATATTCGCAGTATGCATGGGATTCACAATCACAAAGGTACAGCACATTGTCAAATAACATACAGACCTTTGCATGAATTATGAGTGGAGAAATTTGAGTGAAGAAAATTATGTGATGAGCTGTGTGGATCATACTCATTATAAAGTGTTTGCAGGGTGATAAAGTGAAGGAGTTTATAATGGATACTTACTCTGTGAGAGAGCTCCTAAAATTAGGGGACTGTGAACAGCTACCAACTTTTGCATTGGATAAAGCACTGATTTATATAAAATATTCCATAAATTTAAGCAGCTCTTAATTTATTCATTCATGTAATTTTTATTTGTTACTGTCATTTTCAAATATTTGAAGTTGTCCTATTGTTCATGTAATTTTTATCTGTTACTGTAATTTTCAAATATTTGAAGTTGTCCTATTTTCAATGGATTCATTAACTAGTATTTTATATTTAGTTTATTCCATGTTCTGGTTAGTTTTCCCTGTGTTTTGTTCTAAACCAGCCTCCTCGCTAGCATCTAATAGAATATCTGCATTTTCTTTGTCTTATTTATCTGTGTACTCAGTAATTTATCATAAACATAGAAAGGAAGCTGAAGTGTCCCATTCAGTTCTGTCCTTCCTGATTTCCTTGGACCTTTCTGAGGGCATGTCAAAGCTGAAAAGCAATGGTGGTATATTCTCGATTGTGTTGTAGAATTTTGCTAAAACTTGACTAGCTTAAAAGCTAATTTGAATGTGTTCCAGCATTCCCACTTCTGCTCTTTTTCTTCTGCTTCATGTTATGTGTGTCATTTCTCCATTTGATTTAATTCCTTATGTGACATACCCAGAACATTAGTTAACATGTTAACCTGCTGTAATTTTATGTCCTTTATACCAATCACAAAGCTTTTCAATAGATGAAATATAATAGAAAGTCTCACATTTTTTATGTTTGAAGTTTATAATTTAAAGGATTTTACCATTTTGGTTTCTGTTACATGAATAACCTAACGTCTGCTCCATCACCATCTAAATGTTCCTTTCCAAAACTAAAAACATCTCACATCTTTGTAACATAAATGTTCTAATGTCAAGTGCATTTCTTTGCTATAACATACTGCTTTTTCAGATGCTGGACTATTAATCATATCTGTACTATAGGATAGATGGTAGGCTATCAGTTTATCATTCAATTTGAGTAGAATGCTCTTTAACAACAGAAGTAAAGTGGGATCTGGACAGTCAAATTGCAAGGAAAATTATAGTATTATTAATGTAAACCACAGATCATGTATTGTTGACTCTGTTACTGAATGTTTGACCTTGACGTGATTCTAAACTAGTGACTATTTGAACTGGGCTGAGGCAGCCGTGAAAGTAATAGAACATCTTTTTTAAGAAGCTACAAGAGGGAAGAATTATTTAAGAATGAAAACATTTAATACTTCTGTTTTCTTCTTTTACAGGCTGTGGAGTTGATAGGAAAGATATCACAGTAATAAATGTAAATGTAATGTGTTAATTAAAGATGAACCATTAGTCTTGCTGTAAATTTGTGGTTATACATTGTAATGGCTCAGCCACTTTGCTTTACTATGTGATGAGCTGCAGCACTGGAAATAGAGCCCAAGGGGGTGGGGGCTTCTGTAATTTTAAATTAAGCATTTCCCAATATTGCTGTGTGCTTAGTCTGTTACAGCAGTTTATTCAGCCAGTGTTGCACAGGCTCCCGGTTTGATATGTTTTCTTTCTTTCTTCCCATTGCAGGGTAGTGATTGGCGAGGATTATCAGTGTCAAACCCATTCTCATTTGCGGAAGCAGTTGTAGTGGTGGTGGTTGATGGGGTTTCCACCCTGGGATGGCAGGAGGGTCACCGCTATCCACTGATCACAGATGAGGATGAGTCAGTGACCTGGCAAGCTCTGCATGATCGTGTGCTGAAGCGTTATCCACGCCAGAATGCCACATTGCTGCGAATGGATTTTGCCGAACAGGTGGATTCTGCTTTTTTCTTTATAATGTTGTCACAGGGATGTTCAAAGTGAACCTTCATCGCATTGAAGCCTTTTATATATAAGCATGGATACATTTCTGCCAACTTCTGCAGAATGTATCACTAGATGTGCCAGGTCATTAGTCGCATAGCCCATCATGTCTTATGGTGTTGTACAAAGTTGTATCCTTTCCAGACTGGACTAACATGCTTTTAAGTTCTATCTTGCAAGAAATTTTTCCAATTTCTAAACAAATTTTAATTTGGTGATAAATACTAACTACATTTTACATATTCAAACATCATATCAGCCATTATATTGTGGAAATAATATTTTTAATTGAGAATGGCCTGTTGGACAATGCAAAATTGAAGGTATTATTAATATATGAATCACATTTCATAAATATCATTCCAATGAAAGTAATTTCGAAATTGAAGGTATTATTAATATATGAGTCACATTTCGTAAATATCATTCCAATGAAAGTAATTTCGTACTTTAACATATTACATAATTTGCAATTGAAATTAAATTATGTAGGCTGTGAAGAGTATAAAGTTTAGAGGTTTCTTTTATAGATGGTGCATATTTATGCTATAACATCATTACTATTTCAGAGCAACTTACAGTAATCTCTAATTGTTTGTAACTGTTACATTAATGAAGCAATTTTATGCCCAAAAGTAATGTTGTCTGCCATATCAGTGAAGATGTTTTTAAGAGTGTTGCCAAACACTAACCTCACATATTCACTTCCAAGTATTACCAGCGTTTACGGAATGGAAGCACTGCATTTGAACAAGAGACTGTTAGCTAGCTTGTCCATGGTTTGCTATGTGCACATACTCCTGCACAGTGCAAGAGAATAGGTTTCTACATGTTAATGCTCAACATTGGTTGCCAAAAATAGTATGTTTCAGTTTTTGTAAGTGTGATTGCAAAACTGTTATTTTTATGGACATCATGGCAACATTTTGCTTTCAAATGAGTGATTGTACTCACCCATAGGTGCTTCTGTTTGTTCAAAATTTTTGTTACCTTACAAAATTATGTATCAACCCTTTCCCATATGTAACATTATCAAAATTGTTTGCATCCAGGACATATAGAAATTTGAAATACCTCTGAAGTACAAAGTTTTTGTAATATATAATCTCATTTTATTTCACAAGGAGTTTGCATTATTTGTTCCAAATGGCAGCAGATGCCACACAAAGCATGCAGTAATTTGTTACCAGTTTGCAGTAGCGAACAATGACATACGGTAACAAGTGACCAGAGGAATGTGAGAAGAAATATTGTTAATTATATCGATATACAGTTGTGAGAGAATTTTTGTGTGTCACAGGCCAATAAACGGTTAAGATTTTCTTCCCCATTGGAATGTTCAGAAAAAGAAAGACAGTGAGTTAACCAAGGAAATAAAATACTTGCATTCAAAATAAAATATTGTGGCCTTCAGCAATAAATATTTTTAATATCTGACTGTCTCTTTTTTCTCCTATGCTGTCTGTATTTAATCTGCAAGCTTTATGTAGTGTCAGATATGACTGTTATCGCATTGGTCAACTAAAAACCATTTTCAGTACTTCCATATCATCTGTAAGATGTGCGTGCTGGTCGACAATGAAGACTGCAAACATTGATGAATGCAATAGTTGCTGTTACATACCAAGAGGGTCATAGACAAAATTTTCTTTTTGACTAAAACAAAATTACCTGCTAATAACATTAAACATGGATATTTCCATAATATGCACATGTGATTTGTATCATAGGAGTTTAAAAATTATTCCCTATAACATAGCTGGAAATGGATTCATTCTTACAGTAAAATCCACTGTCTTCATTGTTTAATGTATGTAATGTTCTGATGTATTGTTCCACAGGGTAAGCCATATCGTAGTTTCTTTGGCGATTATAAGGACACCCCCACCAATTGGACTGTCAAGTACTTGGACCCAACTGTGTCAGAAGACAAACAGTTCCTTGATGAAATGATGGTACTCAGCAGTGTTGCAAACCTGGTAAGATGCTGTAGCAGTTGTTAGTATTTTGTGTTGTCAGTATTTTGTGTTGTCATATGATGGATATCGACCTTGAGGATGGATAAAGGAGAACTGTTGAACCAGATACCATGTGAATTTAATGTGGATGTTCTGTGAAGAGTGGCAAGTAGTAACTTTTGTTGGCCAAGCTTTAACGTCGTCTCATTTAAACAAGCTTTTGGGTGCTGTGTTCTTTTGTGTGTCAGCCCAAGAGCTTGTTATAATAGAAGTTACTTAATTTGATTGAGGAATACAGGATATTGTGATGTTTTATTAATGATGCCAGTGTTCTGTTTTTTGTATCAGGTAGAATCGGGGCTTGTGTACAGGGATGGTGTGCCTGATGTCTACTGGAAGGTGGTGCGCTCATTACACCCTGTGGTTGATTTTCATGGCCCTGATTCTGAGGCTGCAAAAGAAGCAAAGCAGATTCTCCAAGATGTGATAAACGTTGTCAAGAAAGCTTATGTTCATGCCTACAAGAATCGGGTCAGTGGTATAACGGATCTAGGATGGACATATGGCCCATATAACTGTTCTTACTTTTCAACCTCATGGGGGGTGCAGGCAAAGTTTTCTGTCTGATTTCCAAAAGGAACTAATTAACTAACTGTTCACATTTGTTTGTTTGTTTATTTTCTTACAGCAGAAAGGATCTTTATCAATTACAGGAGGCTTGCACAGTGTAATACAAAACATGAGTGCTCTATGAATTCAAAAAACCAAAGAATACCTACTTCTTAACACAGTACACCTAAAATAACGTGAAACAGCTTTTTATATTTTAATTAATAACAACAGACAAACTAGTAAAGTTGTTCACTTATTACAAAAGAGAATAAATAGTGCTCAGGTTTTTAACTGATTCTCTTTCTCGTTGATCATAACATCTTAATAATGGCAAAGCTGCTGTATTGAACCATGTGCTGTTGTTATAGGCATAAAGACAAGCAAAATATGTGTAACCAACCATGGAAAAGAAACTTCTCTTTTTCTGCTTATCATCTCAAATGCCCCTTATTTGTGATAATTTTTTTTAAACTCACAACTTAGACATTGATTAAAAAAAGCTGAAATTTATACTGCATGTAAGGAAAAATATTGTTTCCTCTTTAAATTTTAAGTGAGTTATTTTTATAACCAACATATCTTGCATAACTGTAAGTTGTGATTTTTAATGCAAATTTACGAAGTTTTCTTTTCTATATTTTCAAAGATGTAGGATATAACAAATCTGACTATGCCACTAGGTAGCTTCTCATATGCATTACATATGAACCAAGATTCATGGAATTTTGCATATTAGTTTTGAAGACAAAAATATTTTTGTGAATGTGTTGGTATCATTATGGAGTGAAGAATGGCCTGTGTCCACAGGTTTAAAAGCAGAACAGAGTATGATACAGACTGTAACAATTGTGGTTCTTGTTTGCACAGGTGGTTGTTGCCACAGTCTGCAGCGATGTCAGTCACACAAGGAGGACTCGCAGCCTCATGGCAGACGCAGTGAGTACTATTCAGCTAACTTTGAGCTGAGGAAGTTAATGTAATGTCTGTGATCATCAGACTACAGTCACACATCTTAAAAATAATATAAACTAAATTTGTTACACAGACATTAAATAATTTGTTTTTGTTCACTGTAAGCCCTTGTCCCATGTCGACAAGAGGCCCCACATTTTTCATGGCTCCTGTAACCAACATACTTAAAACTCAACACACTGGAATAAAATTCTAGATTTATTGTATTCAATTTCTTCTGCATCAGATACTCTTTTTACTCTTGTGAAATTACACAGATTCTGAGGGGCTTGACAGACCTGTAAAAAGCAGCCGTTAAGCCCACAGCATTGCCTGTTGGGCTTTGGTGATGTATGTGAGAGAAAAAGAGCAACATGAAAGGAATAATAGGAGGAAGGGGGGAGGACAAGCAACTGCACTTTAGTTTGATGATGTAAGGGACTTCCAAGTCAGTTGTTTCTTTCTGCCTCAGGATTTACAGTATGAACCTGCACATGAGAAATACATTTTAAAATGGGTTACTTGTATTTTTCGTGGAGTAACTTCCCATTCTAATACATTGAAAATACTGGAATTAGATCAGTAATAACACATTGGCACAGCTGAGATGGTTTCTTTGTCCATTTGCATATATTGATAGGGTTCTGAAACTATTTCAGAATTTTAGTTGAATATACTAACAGAATACCACAGTATAGATTTTTGTGTCATTTAATTTAGTACTAGATAATGACTTATAGGAATCCTATAAGTGCCTTCTAGTTTCCCCTGACAATTGAAACATTAGTTGCAATGTGTAAAATATGAGGTTTACACAGTGGTGAAGATATTGATGTTGATCTTACAAGTTGTAAGTGTCGACTTGTAGGTCGGTACCAGCCCTGAAGATGGAGACTGTATGTTCCTCTAAAACAATGATATGTACTTACAAGTTCACGTGGCATTACAGCCTAGAAGACCAGCATCAACCAGTCAGTGGGAATTATCATTTATTGACCTTATTAATCACCTTGTGTCTTTGCTTTGCAGAACTTTGTGTCCTCTCTCATGTCTTCCCTCAGCGTTTTCTATTATGTTCGTCTCCAGATTATTCCAGTTCTATATCCTTCACTTGGTCTGTCTCATTTTTTACTCTGTAGTTTGTTGCTTTGACTTTATTTCCATGTCTACAGATGTCCTGCATCCTTTTATTATTCACTTTGCTTAATGCAACTTAACCACTGTAATTCTGATGTCTATAATAATTTTCACGTAACCGGCTGAGAGAGAGTCAGTTTGGTCAATATTCGAGTCTTACGGTTTATTATATTCGGAACAGCGTTAAAGAACAACGAGACATATTTACGTAACATATTAATGACTTTTTAATCGTGAAGAGGAGTGCTTTTAAACGCGTGTAGTTCTTTTACATTTGTGTGGTGTCCATTTTGAATTGAAACATTCTCCTACTTTCTCTAGCCCAAAAAAGTTTGGCAATCATCACCGAACTAACCAAAGCCCTCCACCGGACCCTGTCCTGGGCCAAACGAGCACTTTTTCTTGGCCCCTTGGATCTCGTTATAACCGAGTTTGACTGTATTTTGTTTCAGATTTGCAATGGTGGGGATTTTGTTGTGGTGACTCAAGATGTAATGCACCAATTAGCTCAGGCGTCTCAACTAATGGCCCAGTTTTATGCTAGAAATCAAGAATTAAAGTTGGATGAAGGGTTCTCAACTGAAAGTGGTGTCATTATAGAACATTGTAAAACTAGGAAAGGAGTCACTATTCATGTGGATGCTGTTCCTGCAGGGGTTTTAAATCAAATTCAGGAATTCCATATCTGTGAAGACTGTGGAAAATGTTATTGGGATGGCTCACATTTTGAAAGGCTTGTATGTGGTCGGCTTCAGAACATTGTGATCTCATAATTCAGGAACTTAAAATAGTATAACATTGGATAAAGTGTTCAGTTGAATGCATCACCAGTTTGATAAATTGACTTTCCTTTTAAAAGCTAATTCTTTTAATTTGGGCAGCTGATGTGGGTTAGAAAAGGGACTGATAGTCAGGATTAAACTCCTGGTAAGTGTGATGGAACTTTTTTTTTATTTTTATATTTGCTTAATTATGATATACTTAATAATGCTGGCAGTAGCTCAGACTGTATAGTGTTGAATAATAGGATGATTAGGACTCGGTCTCAAACATGAATAAACTTCTAATCAGCACAACAATCCAGAAGACAGTTGTCTTCAGATTATACATTCCTTACTTGTTCTAAACTTTAAGTTTATGATAACTTATTACCATTTCTGTCTGACAGTGTATATTAGCCACAGTTTTTGAATGATATTGTAAATTGTTATTGTATTACATTTGTTGCCATAGATAAGTGTGTTGAGCTATTGGTTATTGAAACCAGTGACATGGTTATGCCTCTTTCAATTAACATAATTTGTTACGTTTTTTTTTTTTTTGCAGGAAGATCCGCAAATAGACCTGAATCTTGCCCCAGAGTATAGCCCGGACTATCCAGTTATCTTCAACATCTTTCTTTGGTTTGGAGTTGCATTTACGTTTTCCCTTCTTGCAATATCATGTGAGTTGAATATCTGAATTAGCCTGTTAACCTCATTTTAGAGCATTCTGTACTTATTAATTGTGTCACTTTTATTTTGCTTTTACATAATTTTTTATTTCATATTTTACTTCATATGAATTGGTTTGTACACTGTAGAGATTTATATTTGTTAGTCAAGAGTTTTATAGAAGACCTGCCTATATGTACACGTGATGCTGCTTTCTATATCAGTAATTTGACACATGACAGGAAGATTTTTTTGGTGACATATGAGATAGAGCCTGACATTCACACTCGGCAGAATTTCAGTTGATATCACAAAAACACATTGTTTATTTCTGATCAGTGCAGTTTTAAGGTTAGATAGGGTTTACTGTTAGATCAACCAATAGTTTTGGATATATTAAACAGCGACAGAGCAGTGATGCTGCTGACTGGAATCTGTAAATAATTCTGATTTTCGCTTAGAAGGGGACTCGGTTGATTGTTACTTGGCTCTGCTTTTTCAATATTGCAGTGGACCTTCATCTGATTTTTTTGACCAAAATATTAGGTGTTGGCACTCCAGTGTTTCTGGGTAATATACTGGATACTGGGAACGACCCATTCTTCAAGTGTCTGAGCACTGCAGGTCCCAACTTTTCGTTGGCTTGATCTCTAGACATTTTGGTAGGACTCCTTGGACGAGGGATCAGCCTGTCGCAGGACAGCACAATACAGAAAAACGCAGACAAACATCCATGGCTTGAGTGGGATTTGAACCCATGGTCCCAGTGACCAAGCGGCACAAGGCCTACGCCTCAGACCGCACAGCCACTGCGGACCCCTTCTGGGTAATATGCAATTTTCTTTTCCTTTGTATTAACTGTTACTTAATAAGTCCTGCAAAATAAATTTTCATTAAGCTCACTGCCATAGCTCAGTTGGTAGTGTGCCTACCTACAGTGTAGGTGACCTGGGTTCAGCTCCCAAGTAGAATAATGTTTTATCTTTTTTATCACCAGGTCTGTAATGGCTATGGAGTCCATAATATATCATATCATTTTTCCTTTATTCATATTTGAGAATTGGAGGAGTTCGTTGGTTTGTTAGTGTGAAAGGTGTTTCCTGTTCCATTGCTCAGAATTTGTTTTGGTCTACACTGTCAAGACTGACAGGAACCTGATTATGTCTTCATCACTCCCTGTGCTCCTAACAAAGTGGAATTTTCCAGTTTCACACATGTAAAATTTGTGTGTGACTTTGTACCCTTGGAAGAATAAGAATAAACTGAATACAACCACCACCTTTGCCAAAGAATATGAATGCTAGTGGCATTACGTAGCAATAATTTAATTTCGGCCATAATACTTTGAGAAATCAACTATGCTCCTCTCATTTTCAAACAAAACAAATGAAAAGACTTAAAAACATAAATGATTTTTGGGTCCGACTTAATCACTACAGATGTGGGAATTAAAAAGAATACCTGTGTAAAATTTGAAGTTGTGTCATCCACACCATAAGCAAACATACTACCAACTGGGCTGCCTTGGAGAGCTTAGGATTGATTTCTTTAATGAGACTTATGAAGTAGCAGTGAATGAAGTGGAAAATGAAATTGTATTACAAAGAAACGGTGGAGTGCCAACACCTAATATTTTGGTCAAAAAATCAGAGGAAGATCCACTGCAATACTGCAAAACCAGAGCCAAGTCGGAGGGTAACAATTAACGGAGTCCCCTTGTTAGTACGGGAGTTTGTAGTGGTAATCATACAGATTCACGTTGATTCTGGTCTGATTTACATAAGGAATTTAAATATTCAGAATTCTTATTGACTCTTGTAATTGTATTATTTCATTGGTGCACTATGTTCCTTAAATATAAGCTGCACATTTTCTCCAAATTTGCATCCACAAAAAATGGTTCCACTTAGTTAATTGCAAGGTAATGGGTCTTTATTAAATTGATTAGGAAGTGTTCTGTTGTGTTTTTTGAATTATGAAACAATGTAAATATTTCAGTGGTAGTAAGTATATACACAATTGTTTCACAAAAGAATTGAATGAAACTGCATGAAATCTTCTTCTTCTATGGCTCTCTGGTCCGTATTCGGTCCATGGCATCCTCAATTCTCGTCTTCCATTTGGTCCTCTGTTAGGTCCGTCTGTCTGAGGCTTCGATTGAGGTTTCGAAACATCTTCCTTTTTACGGTGCAAGGTTGTTAGCTTTGCGACCAACTCCCAACCTGGAGGACCAGGGTACCTATCTTAGTGTGACCTCTCCCCCTCGACCTATCTTGCTAGGGAAGCCCTACCAGTAGCTGTGCTACCGCCAGCATAGCTCTTGGGGGTCACTGAGGTACTCAAGCCCCACCACCATGACAGGGTGCAGGTACCATTAAGTGGGGAACTGCATGAAATATTAAGAGGTAAAATACTTTGTTGGAAGGTCACATCATTATCGATGTTTTAGCAGTGGAATGAGTGGTTTCCCTTGAATGTAAACTGGCAGGCGGGTGCAGGGCTAAAAACTTGTATACAATTTAGCTTTAGCAGTAGTTAACTTAGAGCAGGCATACGAAGTAATCTGCGTGGGAAAACAAAGTTTTGTTTTCTTCTTTCACCCTCTCTCACCTGAATTGCTGTTGGACTAAGGCACAGGTGAACTGTATCATTGTTTGAGCGAGTGGAAGGGTATATACTTAACCTTTAAAGGATATTTGATGGAGAAATGCATTAATATTTGTACTGGCAGAGTACTGTGTGATGCACAACGTACGCACAGACATTGGTCACACTTGATCAGATGCTTTTTGTTTGTTGTACTGCAGAATGAGAGTGATGAATCAAGGAATTTGAGGCTGGTGGTACCTGTAGCAGATATGAGACAAATTGGAAATCCATACAAAATTTTCAAGTGGAACTCTCAAAAAGAGAACATTTTGAAAGTGGGAGGATAGTTCTAACATGTATTTTTATGGGAGAAGGCTGTTTCAGGTTAACTGAATGAAGCCGCCTCAAGGCAGGTTCTGGTGGCTTGTTTTTCTGAGGAGAGTACCAAACTTTTATATTCCTTAATCATGCTGAGTTAACTGAATGTCTCAAGACTCTTTATTACCGTGTTGTTCCAGTGTTCATTGCTGACATGGATCCAGGACGAGACTCCATAATTTATCGCATGACAAGTACCCGCATGAAGAAGGAGAACTAGACAGTGTTTACATTCCTCTGTAGATGATTGGTTGTGGTGTTTGGTATATTACATGATGTCATGCACTTTTATAAATTCAGATAAATTCCGTTTTGTTTGTACTGCAAAGATGTGGTATGTGATTGCAAGGGAACTGGACTAGTTTAATATTATTGTTGAATATTTTTAAAAGTAATGCTTTGTAAAGAAAACATGGTTTAAGCAAGTAACATTTTCTCATAGTTTCCATTCAGGCTCGAGCAAGTGGTTAGGGCACAGGATAAAGTGTGGCTTTACCTGACAAGGGATTGCTGTGGCAACTGTACTATGTGAGAGTTAAGTAAGTCCTTGTGATGTACGCAGCTTTAGAGGTCACGTGCTGCACTACTGGCATGCCAAGAAAAGTTCTGCTTGTTTTAATATGAAGCAAACTTTAGTGGTAATACTTTCTAACATTGGAAGTCAAAAAAAAAATGAAAAAGTAAATAAACTGATAACGATATTACGAGCAACAGAAAGCAACGAAGACATGTGAGAAATATATTTGTACTAAAGACCACCGTTCTTCATTGAGGAATTGGGGGGTTATGCATGCACACATCACCACTTGCCTACCAGGCCGCCTACATCACAAGTATTTACTCAACTCTGACATACAGCACATATGAAGTAAAGGTAGAGCAAACCTGTGTTAACCCTTCAAACTCTGCTATTTTTAGTGTAAGTTAGGCTAAAATGTTGCACGAAAATTGCATTGAAGGGGAAAATGTTTTAACTGTGTTAGAATTTGGGAGCATTCAAGTCTGTCGTAGATGCTTTGCTGTTTGGCACCACAAGCATTCCAGTTTCTCTGATTAGGGAGTAGCAAATATTTCATTAAAGTTACAGATATATCAAAAATAAGTAGTATTTTATTTGTCGTAGTAGTATTATTAGACGTGGTGATCAGCAAGGTGAGGCACTAGCATAGATATTTCTGCTTTAAAGACTTACCCTCCATACTTCTGAAATTAAAAATTTTGTTGGTGATGGAAGTACGAGGCAGAGAAGTACACTAAATGTGATAACAGTTTCAGCTCCTCATTGAGGAAGTTTATTTTCTCATCTTTTCCTCTGGGCTGTACCTGAAGTCTCTTGTTATGTAAATTTGTCTTTCTCTAAATAATTGATTAATTGGATGAACATGAGGGTTATTAGATGGTGAGCTTATGTATTGATGTGAAAATGTTCTCCTTGGCATTTGACTGTGTCCATTGTGGGTCATTCCATTGGCATTTTATGTCTCGTTCTATGCTCAACTCTCAAAAAATTTTCCAAGAGCAGCTGGGTACAGGTCACTCTGTATTACTCCTTAGTCCGTCACCCTTAGGGCATGGTGTATTAAAGGAATTGCATTTCACTAGTTTAATCACTGTATTATCACAAAATATTACTGATGACAGTTAAATGGTCTTCCAGTCAGTTTTACAGACTGACTTTGCAATGCTTCTCTGAACCCAAGATTATTATAATGATCTGAGTTGACAGTACTTTCGACACAGAAGTTTCTGGGATGAGCTTCAAATTATACAACACAATTATTCAGATGTAAGATTTGAGGTTTTCACAGCGGTGAGTATGAAGTTTTCTGTCTTCTGGGTTGTTGCGCTGTGTAGTCTGGTCGATGTTTACCAACGTTCAGAGGTCATACTGCCTTCATCATCAGGGGTATGATCATCGCCCTGATGACGGAGGCAGTATGACCTCAGAAATGTTGGTTAACATCGACCAGACTACTCAGCGCAGCAACCCAGAAGATGGAAATCTTCAATTATTCAGATGTTTGTGTCTTGATTTCGCTTTAATATTGTAGCAGAGTTGGGCCTGAATAAGGATGTAGGGCAATAATTACTCGCTTTAATATTGTAGCAGTGTTGGACCTGAATAAGGATGTAGGGCAATAATTATTACGTCAGTGATATTTTGTGATAGTCGTGTTGTATGCTGTGTCATGGTTTTATTGGTTGTACATAAAATTTAATACATACAATTTATTAAGATGAATTAGTGTGGTGGCATGGTTTGTCTGAATAACTCAAAAATGTTTTACATTTTCTTTGTGGCTTACAGCTGAGTACTTATGGTTAAATTGATATTCTTCTGTAAGAAATTTAATGGTTGTTGATTTTATATATTGTATATGAACTTCAGTGGATGCTACAAAATTATATTGCAGAGTTATTTATGTTATCGTTAATAATAACAGTTTCAGAAAGTTTGATCAGAATTTAATGTTCATAGACCCAGTACATTAGCTTGTTATTTTGTTTTGTGTCAACTGCCTTTAGTTTCCAACTTGTCGGTGGCTCTTGCAAAAGGTGAAACTCTTAACATCAAAAGAAGACCAACTGGCAAGGTCGTGATTGTTAGAAAATGTCGCTAAGTGATGGATGTAAGTAGCGCAATCTTGAAACTCTCATCTGATTATAAGTTGAAGTCACATTTGTAATATTTGTTTGTATGTAGTTGTATATATGTAAGTTGTAAATATTTTATGTTCATTAGTATTAAGCTGTAGATATTTTGTGTCACAGTGTAACTTTTCAGTTACTGGAATAAAACACTTCTCCTTTATCCCACACAATTTAAGTAACAACTTTACCCCTTGGTGTCCAGGTTCAATTCTGGGCATTTAAATAAAAGCGCATCCATTTGAAAAACTATATTTGTCTTTCAAACCACAGACACTAAATTTATGAAGAGACAGCTGTACTTGTGCGAACAAAGTAGACCATGAAAATTGTTTCTTTTCTAAAAGCCATATATCCTTTCAGAAAGGTTTTTCTTATTAAAATATGTAATTTCTGAGAACCAATGCTCATTGTATCGATGCCAGTGGGGACAAGGACACATAATCCAACAACTGAGAAGAGTTTGGTGACAATGTGTTCATTGAGAGCTGAAATATGTTGAAAATGTACTGAGGTCCCTGCGTAAACAGCTCATTAACTTGAAGATGGCCGTCATCAGGGTTAGCACTGTGTAGTCTTGTAGAAGTTTACTGACATTCCAGAGGTCCTTGCTGCCTCCAATCTTCAAGGGTAGATAAAAATACCAATGTAAAGCAGAATCCTTGTAGTAAAAGTCTTGTCAGTCACCTTTAACACATGCATTTTGTTGAATTGTTTAATTTTTAATCAATCTGTAACTTCTAATGTAATTTAAATATTAACATTGTTCCAACAGTCAGTAGTGTCCTAAATATAACACCACCTGAAGATGGTTCATTTTCGATCAAAACATGTATTGGAGTAAATCAGTGAACTGGTGAAAACAAAGACAATTGTGTGGATGGAATTTTGTGTCCTTGATTGTTCTTTCAATTCTTTGCTCATTTATTTACTTATTTAATTATTAATTTTTTAGTTTTACTAAACCATAATAAATAACACTTCAGTGGATGTTGGTTTTACAGGAGTTGGTGTATTATATTCTACA